TTTTGTAATGTTCAGAGTTTTCATAGTAAGTATATATTATATCAAAAAAGATAAAATTTTAAATGCATAGGCCAGAATATAATTTATTATACATATACCTTTGAAAATATGATCGTTATATTCTGTCTGTTGGACTGTGTTCTCACATTACTTATAAAAAATGAATACATTACTAAACATTGATTTGTAACAAAAATTAAGCATATGTTTAGATGAAGTTTACTTTGTCATTTTTTTTCTTAAGGTATTTGAAGCTCAGTAAAGGCTTCTAGACCCCTATGTATTGGCACTCATATAACTAACTCACTCAGCTTTCATTTTTTTTTCTCAAATTTATTTAGAGTATAAAGATTTGTAGGGACACATTTAAAAATTAAAACAACTTTTTTTAATTACATACCCATCTCTTCTCTCAAGACATTGAAGACATTTCCCACACATTTCTTTGCTTTGTTTCTAAGGCATTTTCTGTTTGTTTTTAACTACCTTGGCTTTTCCAAATTCTGCTTTCTGCCTATCTTGGGAGTCCTGTGGGGGTTTTTTTAAAGTAAATGAATAATCATGGGAAAACTTTAAAATCACAACTTTTATTAACACCAACTATTAATAGGTTAAAGTAATTGACTTAAAAAAACACATGTATTAGAGAAGCAAGAGTAAACAATGTAATAAAATAGGCATTTCTAATTTTTCTCCCTACACAAGTGTCACCTGCCCAAAAAAAAAAATCACAATTTACTGATTTTTTATTTATAACTTAAAGATTCTGGTGGTTTAGAAACTTTTATAATAAAAGAAGTTCTCTAAAAATAGACATTACAAGGGCAAAGTAGGATTTGCTTAGAAAGCTGGCAACAAGGGTAGCATTATGCAGTGACTGTAACTTACTACCTTATGTACCTTTGTATTTGAATTTTTAAAAAGATACATGAATTACTTATAATAGGAAATAAATAAAACATTTTTATTAATTTTGAAATAACTATAGATTTTTAGGAAGTTGCAAAAAATGTATAAGGGGCATCCTCTCCCTGGGTGGTAGGTATCGTGAATTCGTACCCCTTGTTCTGCTCAGCTCTTCTTGGGACATGTACGGGCTGGTGTTTCTAGAAGGGAAATGGAGCAAGAAGCCCTGTCAGAGGGGCAGCCCTCTGACCAAGGTCCTGCCACTTTCTACGTCAGGCGCCTCCTTCTCCGGACATAGCATATATGCAGTACTAGCATACCTGTGTGTGCTAATGGTGCTATAAGCACCTCACAGACTCCAGCTTTGGAACAAGAGACCCTGGTTAGACCAAAGCCATTGCTTTTGAAGTTGTCAAAATCTGTTGGTACACAAAAGACATACTATGAAAGAGGTTATATTTTATCTTTACCAGTATATTATGAATAAAAAATTACATGATGAGAAGCAACAACATATTGTGTATTGTTCAAATGATCTTCTAAGGGGATTTGTTTGGAGTGTCAAGTTTCTCTGTGGAAAAATACAGGAGAATATATACAATAATCTACAGAAATTGGTAGTAGTCAATCATCAGGAACCAACAGATTCAGGCACATCTGTGAGTGAAAACAGGTGCCACCTTCAAGATGCGAGTGAGGAAAAGACCCTGTGCAAGAGCTGCAGGAAGTGAAACCTTCATCTTCAAACTTGGTTTCTGGACCATCTCCATCATCTAGAAGGAGAACAATTAGTGAGACAGAAGAAAACTGGGATGAGTTACCTGGGGAACATCAAAGAAAGTGCCACAAGTCTGATAGTATTTCCTTTTCCTTTGATGAAAGCCTTGCTCTCTGTGTAAGAAGGAAGATAGGTTGTAAAAGAAGCACTAGCAATGAGTCAACACAGACTCAGTCAAACCAAGATCTTGATGCTGGTGTGAGTGAACAATCAGATGATTTGTTGGATCAGGATTAAGCCTCAGATAGATTCTGTGTAGAATTTGAAGTTGAGTCTTTCAATTCAGAAGATTATAACCTTAGTGAAGGACAAGAATTCTCAGATTAAGATGACGAAGTATACCAAGCTACTGTGTATCAGGCAGGGGAGAGTGATACAGATTGATTTGGAGATGATCCTCAAATTTTTTTAGCTGACTATTGGATGTATCCTGCATGCAATAAAATGAATCCTCCCCTTTCATCACATTGCAATAGATGTTGGGCCCTTCATGAGAATTGGCTTTTTGAAGACAAAGGAAAAGAAAATGGGAACATGCCTGAGAAATCCAAACTAGACAGCATAAGTAGAAGAGGGTTTTGATGTCCCTGACTGTAAAAAAATTTATGTAGTGAATGATTCCCAAGAATCACGTGTTGAGGAAAATGAAAAGATCACATGATCCTCCCAGTCCCAAAAAAGTGAGGACTATTCTTAGCCATCAACTTCTAGTAGCATCATTTGTAGCAACCAAGAAGATATCAGAGTGTGAGAGGGAAGAAACAAGACAAAGAAGAAAGTGTGGTCCTGGCTGGTGTGCCTCAGTGGATTGAGTGCTGGCCTGTGAACCAAAAGGTTGCTGGTTCAATTCCCAGTCAAGACACATGCCTGGGTTGTGGGCCAGGTCCCCAGTAGTGGGTATGGGAGAGGCAGCCACTCATAGATGTTTCTGTCTCTCTTTCTCCCTCTCTTCCCCTCTCTAAAAATAAGTACATAAAATGGTTTAAAAAAAGAAGAAAGTGTGGGAGTTTCATTTTCCCAATAATGCCTTTGAACCTTTTGTAATTTGAATTTGCTAAGGCTGACCTAAGAATGGTTGCACTGTCCATGCAAAAAAGGGCATCTTATGGCATGCTTTCTTTACATGTGTGAAGAAGAAAGAAAAAGAAAGAGAGAAAGAACCTGCCCAGTAGACAACCAGTTCAAATGATTGTGCTAATTTATTTCTACTATTTGACTTACCTATAAAAGTAGAATTATATGTTTCTAACTTTATAACCCTAAAAATTTAGACATGAAATTTTATTTTTTTACATGTATCAAAGCAGGAAGGTATCTTAGTGCATATAGATTTGTGTTGTATAATTTACTTACTTTGGGAGACAGAATAGTGAATATTCCCTTTAAGGAATATTTCACTTCTGTTTATATTTTATATTTGGGTTTTATTGAAATTTGAATTTGACATATAGCTCATCCTTTATTCTTGCCCCTCATTTTAAATAACTTCCACTTTCTCTTAAATGTCTTTTTAAAAATTACTTTTTAAGTAGGACTTTTAAATGTAACTTAGTACCTTTCATACAAGGAGAAAAGTTTGTGTGAAAGATGTAATATTTAAATTTTAGGTATTCTTAAAGCTTTTGATCCTTAGTTTCTCTATTTTTCAGAACCTCTAAAAATACTCCTTCCAGATAAAAAAGAAATTGGTAGTTATATTTACCATATAAGTAAAAATGTTCTTATTACCCTGCTTCTTTGGTATAATAAAGGATATGTGGTAATGATACTAGTTTGAGATGTCATTGAGAATAACCATCATTTACCTACATGCAAAACTTTAAGGCTCCCTGGTACAACATGGACTTTTCTTAGGCATCTTATAGTCTCTTTTCCATGCCTAATTTCAGAAGTTAGTGTAATCTATTGCTGAGAAATTCTAAGACACTTTGAAGTGCCGTCATGGGCTGGATTTCATGGTCCTTGATAGTTACCTAAGTTTCAGACCTTTGCGTAAGGCCAGTTTTAGAAACCTGTGAATTCACAAAGGCTAATTGAGAAATTTAATAAATGGGACTGTTTGTTTTTAAAATAGCTGGAAATGTCATACCTTTGCTCTAAATTGTCTAAAAATTTTGCATCACTTTAAGATTGATAGTGTCAGGACATAGGATTCTAAGATATCTCAAACTGCAAAGATTAACATCTTGATTTATATTTAAATATGAATCTTGAGCAAAACAGTGAAAATAATCACTTGGATTGAAAGTCCCAGTGTTTTACTCCCAAGTATGACAGTTGTACATGCTGAGGTGTGGACAATAAAATCAGCTGATCTATGTTTAGACGGATAATTTCCCACAGCAAGTTTGTGCCAGTTACTAATATTCCACTATATTAAACTTTAAAAACAAAAAACTTATGACTTACCTGTGTATACATACCTTAAGTACAAAATAAGTGACTTTGGCCAAAGACTGATCCGCAAATACAATAAGCTTTATTAATTTGTGATTTATAATATTTTAACTATAGAACTATGTAGGATTACTCTTCTGAGGAGAGTTGGTAGTAAAAATGAGATTATAAATACTGTACATTCAGAGTATGTTAATGCAACAATTCTATTTACAAAACATTCACATTTTTACAAATAGTCTTATTCAGCACTTGTGTGCATTGCTAATGTAGTCTTGATTGTCTAAAGTTTTGGTTTGGTATACTTTATTGATTTATGAATAAATGATTTATTAAATGTTTAAAAAGTATGTAAGGAAGTCCCTTATGAAAGTCATCTAGTTTCTGGGTTTAAACCTTTTCTATTTTTGCCCTGGCTGGTATGACTCAGTGGGTTGATTGCCAACCTGCAAACTGAAAGGTTGCAGATTTGATTCCTGGTCAGGGCACATGCCTGGGTTTTAGGCCAGGTCCCAGTTGGGGGTGTGTGAGAGGCAACCAGTTGATGTATCTCACACATCGATGTTTCTCTCCCTCTCTTTCTCCTTTCCCCTCTCTTTAAAAATAAAAAACAAAAGTAAATCTTCAAAAAAATTTTTATATTTCTTTTTTGCATCCTGGTTGGCTGCCCTTTATAAATAGCAATTGTTTGTTTGAATTAAGATTATGTATTTATAATGATTTTACATAAAGTAGAAATTTTAGTAAAATTCAAAATTAGAGACAAGAGTGAGTAGAGGGAGGTATGGATTTTAATAAAATTTCAGGGATGCATACAAATTAAATTATATGTATTAACAGTCTGGATTCACTATAAATTAAAAGTCCCCACAGCTAACCTTGTCTTGGTCTGATTTTCTGTTGCCCACCATGGGCACAGCAATGCAGGGTCTGCCGTGGGGGTAAGTGGCCCTGTGGAGCGGTGGGTGTGCCTGACCAAGAGGGCGTCCAGGATGCTGACTTTGTTCTTTATGTTGGTGCTCTGGCCACTGAGAGGTGCAGCCATGAAAACATCATCTCTTATGCAGCCTATTGTCAGCAGGAAGCAAAAATGGACAGGTAAACTTTCCATGAAACTTATTTCCCAAGATCTAATATGGGAACTCTTAACACAAACTATTAATGTTTAGAATACAAGAAGTTTGCACCTGCCAGATTGCCTTCAGTACTAAGAAACAGCACACTGCCTGGATGGGGATGGGGTAGGGAGTGGGGGAAATCAGGTTATAGGATTTTATGCATATGGTAATGTCAGTACCAACTCCAAGGAAAACGTCTACTCCAAGGAAAAGTTAAGAGAATTTTATTTGGCAGTAAATACCTCTCTGAGGAAACAATTTGAACTTAAATTTTAGCAGTTCTGTGCTAAGCTGTAAGATGTTAAAAATAACTCTTCATCTCTTATAATTGTCATATCATTTGATACGTGCTTTTACTTAGCTAAATTATCATTTAAAAAATGAATCTTCTTTATTTATAAAAGATTTTAAAAAGTTATTTCTAGTGGAACAACCTTAAAATGAAGTTATTATATATTCCAAAGATTGCCTGTCACACTCCAGACAAATTCATTCAAAGAAGTAGAAATTACAAGTCTCAGCATAGACTCTATGCAACATTCTCAAATCTAGGAGAACTAGCGTGACCACTTCATGTGTATATGAGGATCGTTCCTGAGGTCCTGCACATTCCTGTGTCTGTCAAAAGACTTGCTGGCTTTAAAGAATTGTTTCACTTGCATTGATACATAATTCATTTAAGGAAAAAAAAGGGATTATTTGTTGAACCAAGTAGTTATACAAAGGATACACTGGTATGTGCTTCAGAATTATACTGTCAATACTGACGGTGGTAAGGAGGTCAAAATCAGCATCATGGATTAGGAAAAGTAGTCTGTTACCATGACACTATGTAATTTTTGATCAATGAAGTTAACTAAAAAATCTTTAGTTTCTGAATGTTTAAAAAGCTTATAGTTGAATATTGGGTGTGTATGTTACTGAAGAAAGTACTATATATTTTGCAGATATGTATGTAATATTGTTTAGTAAAATGTATATATATATTTAATAGAGTACTCCTTTTTTCCTGTGATAGTTTATATTTAATGGTGTTTTGGTATCAAGGAAAAGTGGTATTTGAAGGGCTAAATGAATGATAAAATAAGTTACTTGATAAAATGAGATAATTTTTTAAAGTAGATGACTTTGAGAAATATGTCTTCAAAATAGTAGTACTGTAAAACCATGGTTCTTTATCTTAATTTGAACCGTATGGATTGAACACACACACACACACACACACACACACACACAATACTTCATTTTGAATATACTGTTGAATGTCAAAAGAACATTGTGAAACAATGTATAGGTGATATGATTCCATATTTGTTTTAAAACTCTATATACTTGAATGTGCTAAGGGAGAAGTCAGAAATAAATAGTATTACCAACCATCCCATTGCCCAGGACTACCTTGTTTTAGCACTGAGAGACCCATGGCCTGGAAAACCCTTAGTCCTGGCAAACCAGGATGGCTTGTCACCCTAAAAATAAAGCACTTCAAATCATTGGTAGCAGTTATCTCTGATAGTGGAATTTAGTGGAGGTAGAGTGTAAAACACATTTTCATTTTTTCTTTATATATTTCTTTTTTAAAAATTGATTTGAGAGAGAGAAGTGTGAGGAGAAAGGAATGGAGGGGAGGGGAGAAACATCGATTTGTTGCACTTAAACATTAATTGGTTGCTTCTTGTATGTGCCCTGGCTGTGGATCAAACTCACAACCTTGCCATATCAAGACAATGCTCTAACCAACTGAGCGACCCAGCCAGGGCCCTTTATATATTTCTATATTATTTGTATATATACTTTTTGCAATGAGCTTTTATTACTCTTTTATATAAAAGACATTCTAAAGTGAACATGTTATTAGGAACAGAATGGCTTCCATGGGGAAGTGGAGGGAGGGATATAAAATCCCATTCTGAGATGGGTCTAGATCAGTGATTTTCAACCTTTTTTATCTCATTGCACACATAAATTACTAAAATTCTGCAGCACACTAAAAATATATTTTCTGCTGATGTGACAAAAATGTATAATTTTGATTGATTTACAAAATAAAAAGTAATAGTAATTACCTACCTTTTTTTGCTCCAGAGTGACTTTTTAAAAAATCAGGTGCCTATACATATATATAGGGATTTCTGATATCAAGAATTAACCAGTCAGACAGAACCTTATTATGTGAAGTGACCAATAAGATGCAACTCTGTTATATGATGTATATATTTATGGTTCAAGATAGGGCATTTATGCCTTGGCCTGGTAGCTCAGTTGGTTAGAGCATCATCCCAATACACCAAGGTTGTAGATTTGATCCCCAGTCAGGGTACATATACAAAGCAATCAATGAATGCATAAATAAGTGGAACAACAAGTTGATGTTTCTTTCTCTCTCCCCCTTCTTCTGTCTCTCAGTTAAAAAAAAAGGAAAAAAAAAAAGACGGCATCCACACTAGACAGCTATTATTATGTTGGCTGTTGCCCTTATTAATTTGACAAGCTAAGGGAAAAGAGATCAGTGCTCCAGGAGAGGGAAAGGGTGGAGGTGGAAGAGGGTATAGTGGGGATAAATGATAATGGAAAAAATACAATAAAAAAATGAACTATTAAAAAAATTCTTGCGGCACACCAGTGTGCCCCAGCATACCAGTTGAAAGTCGCTGGTCTAGATAATGGTGATATCTAATAATGCTTAAGGAATGTAATTGTCTTTTGAGGAAGAGAATCCAGCATAGGAGTTGTTACACAGATGAGAATCCCATAGCCCAGGAGTGCATTTCAATTTCATTGCTGTGCTGTTATGTTTGTGTAAAGCACTTTAACATTTGTTCACTTTGATATAAATGAGTAGCTGAAAGAATAAATGTTCTTTGCATCAGTGAATATGAAGCTATTCATATATGTCATCTCATAGCTGTGGAAAGATGTTGATTTCTTCTGAGGAGAATGTTGATGCTCAAGAAAGAGCAGTATTTGGTTGTCCTTTTATAATTTTTTCAAAAGAAGTGAAACTTTCCTTCAAAACTGCTGTATGGCATTGATTCATTCCCTGAATATTTGAGTGCCTAATGTTGCTGGTAGACTGTGTAAACGAGAGAGATGCATACCTGCCTCATAGAACTTACTAATTACAGAGGAAGAAAGATATTAGTTAAATATACTTACAAATAAATTTCAAAACATGATAAATGTACTTTGTAGGAAAAAAAGAGTGCTTTAAGATAAGAGAACAAAAAGGGGGAACATAGTTTAGATCAATTAGGCAAAGAAGGCCTCTTTGAAAAAGTGAAATTTTAGCTGTAACCTGAATATTGATAGGCTTCAGCCAAATAGAGAGGTATAGAGAAAGAGGTATAGAGAAAGAGCTTGTGTTAGGAAGAAGCCATGTGTATGTGCTGCTGCTGGAAGACACTTCAGTGAACACTCTGTTTGAGGATGAGAGCTTCTTGAAATGGATTGAAGAGGAAGACAGGGCTATTTTATTCTAAATGCTATAGAAGTCCCTGATGGGTTTTAAGCCTGACAATGACATCCATTTTCTATTTTAAAGGTCACTAGCAATGTTTTGGTAAGTGAATTATATACATACTTTTTCTAAATATGTCTGTTGTTTTCAAGTGTGAAGAAATTATTTTATGTATCTATAGTGAAGAAATTATAATTTAAATAAGAAAAATGTTACTTGTAAGTAGATCAAAATTTATTGAGTTTTATGGCATTTCTCTGGTAGAATGTTAAGGTAGTGGTGGAAGAAAGGCCCTGGGGTTCCTTACCGTTGCCTGTCTGTTTGCCATAGCTTTTGAAAGAAAGGTAGGTACATGGTGGAGCTGACGGAATTACTCCAGGTCCCGGTCAGCTCTTGGACTCTTAAGGTTCTGGGTGCAGAGGAGATGTAGAATTCTGTAGATTCTAGAAGGTATATACTATGAAAGAAGATAATAGGAAGATAAAGATTTTTATGCGAATGACCAGTGTTGGCGCAGGAGAAAAGGAATAGTGAGATGGAGATAAGGAGCGTCAGCAACTTTAAGCAACCGGAATGATTTGCTTATTGTCCTGTTATGTATCTGGTTTCTCTCTCTACTTACTTGTTTGTCCCTGTGTCTGTTAATTCTAGTGGAATGGTGAACTCACATATGGATTTCTCAAGTAAGACAGTGTTAGAATTTGAGTGTTTCAGTACATTCCTTTTTGGGTATATATTAACATTTTTAAAAATTCGTATTAGAGTGTAATTAACTGACTAAATTCTTTTGTAGGAGTAGGTATTGATTAGCCATGCCGTAAGAACATGGAAGTATGTCTTCAAAGTAAAATACAGTGAAAGTTAGATGTTACAGTACAAAATAACATTTGGTATTTAGCAAAGCTTTTTCTGACCTTGGGCAGTTTTTGATAGGAAAATATAGATTAATATCAAAATGCATATTATTCTGGAATATAATAAAAATTCAATGTCTATTTTAACAGGCCAATAGCAGGATATGCTAACCTGTGTCCAAATATGATCTCTACCCAGCCTCAGGAGTTTATTGGGATGCTATCCACAGTGAAACATGAGATTATTCATGCCCTGGTAAATTTTGCTGTTAACTGTTTTTTGTTTTTATTTTTTGTCTTGGTTTTCTGTTTATTGTGCTCTCATTTTGATGTATATATTAAATTTTTAGATTATGTAGATTCTTAGATTCATGTTCTGTAGAACCTAGTTGATTAGGCTGCTGCCAACAGAAAATTTATAATGATTAACATATAGGCTAGGTTGAGTTATGCTACTTAAAAATAATTAAACAAGTTAATCCATTAGGCAAATAGGGTTTTTGAGAAAATGATTAAATTTCTTCAGGAAAAAATAGTAATTTGAAAAGACAACTGATATTCAAATTACAGATCTTATCTCCTACTGAGATCTCATTTCTAAAAGTCCTTTTGGTCTATTTAGGTTTTCTAAATTTATATATATTACCTGGCTCAGAACTTCTTCTGTTTCTCTAATTTATCCAAAATTGTGAATTTTTACTATATGACTGGAGAATTAAACAAACAACATTGCCTAACACCCTACGAGATGTTTGCCTGATGTCATTTGTGTGTTTGTGAAGTGCATCTGGCAGTAAAATGGGAGAGAATGGGTTACATCGATGTAAGTGTGATTCTTCTTAACTCTATTGCTAAAGATCTTTAGGATCTTGTGCAAATTACTTAGCCTTTGTAAGCCACAGTTTCATCTGTAAAATGAAGATAGTAGGACATACTACAATGGATTTATTTTCTTAAAGATTAAATAAAACAAAACATTTAAATGGCTTTGCACCCTGCTATACATAATAAGGTGTAATAAGTCGCTATTATTTATTAGTTTTATTTAGTGAGCTATCATATATGACCTTCAAATGCAAGCTGTGGAGTTTTTTTTTAATTGATTTTAGATAGAAAGGATGGGAGAGAGAGAGAGAAATGTCAATTTGTTGTTCCACTTATTTATGTGTTCATTGGTTGTTTCTTGCATGTGCCCTGACTAGAGATCAAACCTGCAACCTTGGCATATCGGGATGACATTCGTACCAACTGAGCTACCTGGTCAGGGTCTTCCCCCAACCCAAACATTAAGGAAATTTATTGATTTACTGAAAGTACAAAGTGTGGGGTTCAGGGCTAACTTAACCCAATAGTCCAACTCCATTTCCCCATGCTTCCCTTGGTTGTATCCTTTTTCTTTTTCTTTTTTAAATTTTTAAGTCATGTTTATTCTATTACAGTTGTCTCAATTTTACCCCCTTTGCCCCCTCCACCCATCCTACCTCCCACCCCCACAGTCAGTTCCCACTCTGTTGTCCATGTCCATGGGTCATTCATACATGTTCTTTGTCTAGTGCCTTCCCCTTCTTTCCACCACTGTCCTCTTCCCCATCCCCTCTGGTCACTTTCAGTCTGCTCCATGTTTCCATGCCTGTGGTTATTTTGTTCGTTAGTTTATTTTGTTGAATAGATTCCACTTATAGGTTAGATCATATGGTATTTGTCTTTCACCAATGGGCTTATTTCACTTAGGTTAATATTCTCCAGTTCCATCCATGTTGACGCAAAGGATAGGAGTTTCTTCCCTCTCTCCCTCCCTCCCTCTTCCTTCCTTCGTTCCTTCCTTCCTCTCATGCAGATTGATTTTATTTATTATTTTAAATGACAAAGTCAATTATAAAACATTAAAATATTTAAAACCATTATAGCGTCAGTGATTAAAACATGACACCAGGACAGAAATAATCAAGTAGATTGATGAAATACAGTGAGCATTCTAGAAACAAACGTATATATCTGTCTAACAATGTAATATATGATTAAATTGATATTTCAAATTAATGGGGAAAATAAGGCTTATTCAACAAATAAAGTGCATGGACCACTATTACTGAAATAAAACAAATATAGTGCCCTATTTCACACTTTACACAAGGAATATTCAGGTGAGTTAAAAATCAATATGTAAAATCTAAGGAGTTTTTGGAGAAAATTCAAAATATTTTTTTTACCCTGAAGTAACATATTCAAACCCAGAAACTATAAAGTAAAATATTGACCGAATATGACTATATTAAACATTTCAGACTATATAGTAACATACATATCAAAAAAGTTAAAGAACAAGTAATAGAATGGGAAAATATTTGCCACATATCTATAAAAGGGTTAATAGTTTTTTTCTTGTTGTTGTTTCTTAGGGAAATAATTCTACAAACCTTTAATCAATAAATGGATAAAGAATACCAAAAAGTCATTTAAAGCTTTCTAAAAATAATAGAAATAGGCAAGAAATATACAAAACCAGGTTTAGTTTCAACAGATAATAAAGGAACAATTAAAATAACACATCATTGTCACAATCAGATTAATACGTATAAAAATATTGGTAATATCAAGTATTGGCAACTGTGAAAGGAACTGGGTATTCATAGACTCTTTTTCTTCATTTTCTTAAGCAATCTTTTTAGCATATTTTGCAGTGCAGATTTGGTGGAGGTGTATTCTTTTAGCCTTCTTTTGTCGGGGAAACTCCTTATTTTGCCTTCCATTTTAATGGAGAGCCTTGCTGAGTAGAGCAGTCTTGGTTGCAGGCCTTTGCTTTTCATGACCTGGAATATTTCTTGCCATTCCCTTCTGGCTTGAAGTGCTTCTGTTGAGAAGTCAGCTGCTAGCCGTATTGGGGGCTCACTTAGCTGTTACTACCTCTTTCTTCCTTGCTGTCTTTAGGACTCTCTGTTTGTCTTTGCTATTTGCCATCTTAATGATGATGTGTCTTGGAGTGGGCCTCTTTGGGTTCCTCTTGAATGGGATCCTCTGTGCTTCCTGGACTTGTGTGACTTTTTCTCTCCTCCAATTAGGGAAGTTTTCCATCATTACCTTTTCAAACAGGTTCTCTATCCATTGCTCCTCTTCCCCTTCTGGTATCCTTATTCTATGGATAGTACTACGTTTCAGGTTGTCCTGCATTTCCCTCAATGCCTCTTCATTCTTTCTGAGTCATTTTTCATTTTCTTGCTCTTTCTGGGAGCTTTTTTCTACCTTGTCCTTCAGCTCGCTGATTAGATCCTTGGTTTCATCGAGCCTGTTTTTGATTCCTTCAACTGTGTTCAATTCAGAAATCGTGCTCTTCATTTCCTCTTGTCCCTTATTGATAGTTTCTATGTTCTTTTTCATGCTGGTAGTTTGCATTAAGTTCCTTGTAGTTTCCCTGTGGTTTTTTATAATTCTCTCTGAGCTCACTAAGCTTCCTTAGAACTGTTGTTTGGAACTCAATATCAAATAGTTGATTTGCCTCTATTTCAATTAGTTCTCTTTCTGGGGATTCCTCCTTTCCCTTTGACTGGCGGGGTGGTGGTGTTTTTTTGTCTTCCCATTATTTGTGAGACCCTTCTCTTGCTTCTGCTTCTTAAATTGATCTGTCTTAATTTCCTGGCTTAGCGATGTGAATTTCTATGGTAGGAGACTGCTGTTTTTTCTTTCTGGATCTGCCTCTGATGATGTCAGATGTTGCCCCTGCCCGATCTTAGACAGTCTATTTGAGACTTCTAGGAATCCACTGTTTGTGGCTGTCTCCTTCAGCTGTTAATCTAGTCACTCTGCACTCAGCAGTCAGGCTTAGACTCCATATGGCAGGGCAGAGTCCCTCCTTGGGGCAGGGCTATTGGGTCCTCTCACGCTGCTGCAGCTCGAGGGAGTGGTCTCCCTGAGCCCAGTGGCTGCTGCTGTATGCGGGAGGAGTCAGCATCGGGATCCCACCAGCTACTCTCTCCTTTCACTCCCCAAAGCCTCTGTCCCCAGTTTTAGCTCAAGTGTCTCTAGACCACTCTGTGCCCGCTTTAGCCAGGGACCTACTATCTGTGGCTACCACTCTGCACTCAGAAGGCCAGCTTAGAGATACCACAGGGTGGGGCCAAGGCCCTCCTGGGGGTGGGGCTATTGGGTCCTTTCACGCTGTTGCCGCTCAGGGGAGTGGTCTGCCTGAGCAAGATGGATGCTGCTGTCTCGGGGATGAGTCAGCACCAGGATCCTCCTGGTACTCTCTCAGTTCTCTTCCCAAAGCCTCCTTCCCCAGTCTCTCCCCAGGCGTCTGTAGCCCATTCTTCCCCGGCTCTTGCTGAAGACCAGGGTAAGTGGCTGCAAATAAAAATTTATGCCTTGGTCTTTTAAAAGGATCTTTGCATCTCCAGCCACCTGTCTCTGCCAGAGAGCAACCCTGCTGCTTTTCACAGCTGGCTGTTATCTGTGTACTTTTTGGGCCTGGTGCTGTAGGCTGGAGATCACCACTTAGGGTTTAGACCCCACTCTTCTCAGGCGGATCCACCTGGCCATTTCAATATCCTTCTGGTGCTGCCGCCCATGGGTGCCCCACCCTCCTTTAGTCTCCACTGCACTCCTTACCAGTTAGATTGCACTAAAGCTGATTCCTCTGTCTCTGAGGTTATAAGGCTCTTCTCTTGCTATTGTTCAGTTGTTTGTTCTGGGTGATTTCTCCACAAGTTAGTTGTAATTCCAGGTCGGTCCTGGGAGGAGGTCAGTGTGACTTCCACTCACTCCTACACCATCTTGATTATTGGTTGTATCCTTTTTAAGCCCCAGTCTTTAAGTCAGCAATTACATTGAATAGCTCAGGGAAACTGTAGTGTAATCAGATAGCATGTATATCTTTCAAGTAAGGAGATTCTAAAATGAGTCATCTATTTTCCCTTTATTGAAAAGGTAAGTTGTGCCTTGTAAATTTTGTGAAAGACAAGTGTCGGTCTAAGTATCATTTTAAGCGTTCAGTTTTAAAATCTATAGACACTTGATGAGAGAACAAGAGAAAAACAACAGGTTTTAAGTTTAGTTCGTAAATGAACATGAATACAGAGGTCCCAAACATTAGATAAATTAGGTTATTAATAGACAATTCGTAAAAGAAAAACTCAGTCGGCCAAGAAATGTATGAGAAGGTATTCACCCTTACTGTAAGTCAGGTAATTTCAAATTAAAGTGAGACACCATTGAATATAAAAACATGGATGAGACTTATGCAAATTTACTTCAAGTTAGTGGTTATAGGAAGAGAGGGGGGAGAAAGACTTTAGGTAATGAGGTTTCAACAGTATTTACTCTGCAATTTTTTAGTTCTTTAAAAAAGATCTGAAGAAAATATGGCAAAACTTACACCTTAAATCTTCTGAAAGAGGATGCATAAATTTCTATTAGAGTTTTGAAACTTTTTGTATATTAAATTATTTTAAAAATGGTAAAAAATAACACTAAGAAATTTAAAGATTAATTTAAGTCTCAAAAACCATCCTGGAAGATCGTAAGAATTAAATGTTTAACAACTACAGATACTCATGTAAAGTTAAATATGGTCATAGCTATCCACTACAGTCATTCATGGTACTTTGTATACTAGATAATCCTGAAATATGAGTGCTTAGAAGAATTTTCTGGTTGATAGGGTGGAAAAAAATGTGCACTTAGAATATTATAGAGGATGAAACACGTCATACCATTTTAAGGTTTATATAGCTGGTGAATTGTATATTAAAAACTATTTAGATTTTCTTAGCTGATTCCATTAAGTGTCCTTTGCGTCTTCAGAGATTAAAAAAGAAGAAGAAATACAAGAATAAAAGAATAATCTGGATTCCATTAATCATTTTGACAAGCCTTGAATGACACAGGCCACAGTTATGTAAGCAAAAAACTTTGCCAGTGACGTTAAGCAATCATTTATGATTATTATTTGAATATAAGCTATTGCATATGCTCATGTATAAGATAGACATAAAGAAGTAGCTACAGAAATGCTTTGTTTTAGTTATTAGATAAGGAAAGAAAGGAAGAAAAGAAATCTCACTAACGAAATAGGAGATAGGAGATATAGATGTCAGTAGCTTGTTTTTATTTTCCACATCTTATTTGGAAGGGGAGGGATAAAGGATAGGAATTTGAATACCTTTATATGAAGAATACATTATCATTAAAATTGAAGACTTCTTAAAATGCTATTTAAAAATGTGATTATAAATATACAAACTCACATTGTAAAACAATTTTGGGAATGTGAGTAATTTTACATTTTACTCTACCAGCAAAAGAACCACAGTTAACGTTTTGATATATATGTTTCAATCTTTTCTTTCTTCCTTTTTTTGGGGGGTGGGGAGAGAGAGAGCAAGAGAGGAAAGTTGCCTCCCCTGCGCCCCCTGACTGGGAATTGAAACCGCAATCTAGATGTGTGCCCTGACTAGGAATCAAGTCTACAGCATTTTGATGTACAGGAGGATGCTTCAGCCAGTTGAGGCACCCAGCCAGGGCTAGTCTTTATTAACTAACTGTACACACACACACACTGATGCAATACACACACATTTGCACTTTTAAAAAATGAAAATATTTATAAATGTGTACTTCGGGATCAATGACTTTGAATTTTTATGAATGCTTTTAGGAGCACATTTGATCATTCACCCCTTGCTCTAAACTATATTGTTAATTGTTCTCAATAGTAGAATTCCCTGGATGTAGTTATAGAGTTTAGTAAGTTCACATGAAGATCAACTTCATATGATGCTGCAACAAGATCAACTGTGATAAACACATTCCTAAACAAATAAATGCATTGTCTATATCATTGTTAAAGAATATCTTTGTTACCGTTACCTTTGGTTTTTTCACTGTATAACCTCAAGTAATTGGAATTTAAAATTCAGAAATAGGAAACACTTAATTATTGTCCAGTTCCAATATAAGTTCCTGTGGAAGTACTGATGTGGTGTTTTATGTGGTTATATCAATGCTATGACATCTCTAATCAGAAATTATATTTTTCCACTTTAAGATATTTTGAACTTTTTCTTACAGGGTTTCTCTGCTGGGCTTTTTGCATTCTACCATGATAAAGATGGAAATCCTCTAACTTCAAGATTAGCAGATGGTCTCCCACATTTTAATTACAGGTATTTGTTATATTTGTTCTTCTCTTTTAGGAGGATCCCAAGACTAGAATCTGAGAATCATAGCATGTTAGGTACCACAAATAACAGTGGTTTTATGGCTAGCCTAAGAAAATTGTAGCTATTAAAACAAGATAAGATATAAAAGGTTATTTAACTTCACCTTTCATTTAAAGATGAACCAGTTGGGTTCAGAAAGCTTATGTGACTCCAAAAACCCAAAACTCTCCTTGCCAGGCAGAGGTCTTTTCCACCATATTGTAACATATCACTTTACAGTATAGTAAGGCCATGAGAAAATGTGGGTTGGTTATATATTGGTTTATTAATAATTACTGCCTATACATCGAAGTATTTATATGTAAACTGACACGTATTTTATTTAGCACAGCATATTAGCTATGATCTTAGAGGTTCAGGGCCTAAAATAAATAATAATAAGAAACACTAAAAAAAAAATCACGAATTTTATATAGAATATCAGTTACAGAACTGTAACTCTTTGCATGCGTTCATATAAAAATGTCTAAATTAAGAGCACATGTCCACAAAAATATGTGTACAAGAATGTTCATGGCAGTTTTGTTGTTAATTCCCCCCAAATGAAAACTACCCGAAGGTTCATCAATAGTAGAATGAATAAATAAGTTGTGATATATTCCTGTAATAGAAAGCTACAAAGCACAAAAAAAGGATATACTATTGCTGCATGCAAGTAAGTTATACTTTCCCACCAAATTAAAGTGCTATCATTTTTTAAGTTTCCTTACATACTTGGATATGTCTCTGGACTCGCTTTTATTTTTAATAAATTTAGTAAAAGGAAATAATTTATTACCATCTTAGCCAAGTATTGGCTATGTGGACTTGACCAAGTTACTTCATCTCTCTAAGCCTCAGTCTCTTTATCTACAAAATGGTGATGATACTCTCCTGAGGTTGTTGAAAAGATTAAATGAGAAAATGTTATCAAATACTTTGCAAGACTTGGTACATAGTAAGGTCAAATATTTTAATTTTATTGATATTCATAAACACTTAAATTTAATGTGGTGAATTTATAAAAGTGACTGTCTTCGTATCCTTCACTACAGCCTTGGATTATATCAATGGAGTGATAAAGTAGTTCAAAAAGTGCAGAGATTATGGGATGTTCGAGATAACAAGACAGTTACTCACACTGTGTATCTCCTAGTAACGCCTCGTGTTGTTGTAAGTATTAATGAACTTAATGTCTTGTGAGCTATCTGCTCTTTTCCTTTGTTATGGTCTTTTCGTTACTGATCATTATTGTTTAAGTTCATTTGATTAAGTTCTAGAGTCTTTACTAGGAAAAATAATATAAAGGCAGTACAATAAAGCTACAGGCTCAGAGAAATCTGAGGAAATGGAAATTTGGCAATGACTCTTCTGGTTCCTGGTCTACCACTGCTTTAAGCCTCTGTTTTGATACCTTTTAGGATTACTGGTACTATTTGCATAATTGATGGTCGATTAATTTGGAATCTGTATTAGTCAGAGTTCTCCAGAGAAACAGAACCAACAGGATGTGTTGTTGACAGTTGTCCAGTGGGGGAATCTTATTTTAAGGAATTGGCTCCTGTAGTTGTGGAGGTTTAGAGAATACATAATCTGATAATCTGACATCCTAGATACTCAGGGAAGAGTTGTAGTTTGAGGCCAAAAGCAGAGTTTGGTGGTGGAATTCATTTGTGTTCAAGTAAAGTCAGTCTCTCTCTCTTTTTTTTTTTTAAAGGCCTTTGACTGTTTATATGAGACCCATGCAGACCCATTCAACTAAACTGAATGTTAATCTCATCTAAAAATATCCTCATGCCCTAGCCAAGTTTCTCAGTTAGTTGGAGTGTTGTCCAGTACACCAAAAGCTTTCAGGTTCAATTCTTGATTTGGGCACACACCTAAATTGCAGGTTTAATCCCTGTTTGGGGCACATATGGGAGGCAGCTAATCAATGTTTGTTTCTCACATCAATGCTTCTCTCTCTGCCTTCCTTCTCTCTCAACTCAGTACAATATATCGTTACTTGAGCATTAAAAAAAAATAGCATCCTCACAAAAACAACCAGAGTAATGTTTGACCAAATATCTGAACACCGTGGTGCAGCCAAGAGAGCATAAAATTAACCATCACACTCTTATATAATGACAGAAACATACTGTTTCTTTTGTCTTTGTTGACTGAACACAGCTCTCTCTGCCCTCTGAACTTTTCACTCCTCATACCGTATTTTCCATTCCTGGAAGTCTAACTGAAGGACAGACAGAAACAAATGAACAAAATTGTATTCTGAGGAACAACATTCTTTTCCTACTATATGGATATGGATATTATATCCATAACAAAAACAGTTTATACCTACATTAATGTTGTTGACACACAGTTACAAATGGCAATCATACTAGTCTATAACTTTTTTGAAATACATGTGACTTAAAGTCACAATCTTCAAGTAGACAAAATATGAAGAAAAACAGTACTTTACTAGTAGAGTGTGACTGTATGAAAATATTTTATTTAAGTATATTAAAAAACATATTTTTAAAAGATGTTATTTCTCTTTTTTCACTGAAGTAATTCCTTTTTTTTTTTTAATCCTCACCCAAGGATGTGTTTATTGATTTTAGAGAGAGGAAGAGGAAGAGAGAAAGATAGAGAGAGATAGAGAGAGAAACAGTGATGTGAGAGAGAAATATTGATTGGTTGCCTCCTGTACATTCCCCAACTGGGAACCGAACCTGCAACCGAGGTATGTGCCCCAACCAGGAATTGAACCTACAACCGTTTGGTGTACAGGAGAATGTACCAATTGACTAAGCCACCTGGCCAGGGCACCAAAGTAATTCTTAAATGTCTACTTGATTACATCTAGCAAGATAAAATTTGCCATTTCCTTACTGTACTTTTGTAGGATTTATTTATTTTTTTTATTTTTAGGATGAAGCACGAAAACATTTTAACTGTCCAATTCTGGAGGGAATGGAACTTGAAAATCAAGGTGGTATGGGCACTGAGCTCAACCATTGGGAAAAGCGTTTATTAGAGGTCAGTTTATTTTAAAATTTAACTAGACATATTCTCAAAAAATATTTGACTAGAAATTTTTTTCTTACTCATTGTAAAAGTTATTCAAACAGTTAAAATAGCATATAAAGCAAAAAATTTTTAAGTTTGTTTTCCCCTTTAGTTTTCCAGATCCACTGTCCTGACGTAGTCACTTTTTAAGTTTTTTGTATATCCTTTCATAAATATGAATTAACATACATACTTTTTAAAAAATGGGATCATACATTTATGCAACTGTTTTCACTTAGAGATATATCATAAACATTTTTCCAAGGTAGTAAAGTGCTTCTGCTGTAATGCAATGTGTGCTTTACTAAAACAAACAAGAAACAAAAAAACAAAACCTTTCTTCAAAATGGAACACTAAAAATAATTAGTCATGTGGGAAAAATAAATACCAGAGCACTAATACAAACAATGTCATAGTAAAAGTACTAGTTTGATTTAAAAGTACATCATGTTTCCAATATATAAACTCCTGTGTTTACTCTAACAACAACAACAACAACAAAAAATGATAGCTGGACGGAAGACTGTAAATCCCAGCAGTGAAGGAAAAAGAGTAAAATTGTACAAAGGTTAGAGAGAACCATGCAATAAGCACTTCTAAGTCAGCACCTCTGGCCATACTAAGCCAGGTGGAAGGGCATGCCATGAATGAACAGCATGTACAGTATAGCATTTCTCTATTGTTGTGTTTAGCTGTCATAGTGTACTTTGTATTTAGCTGCTTTTGCTCCATTGCACAAACATTAAAATCCAGGGGAAAAATCATTATGAACCAACATGACTCCTTATTATGATGATATTTTCTTATTTACCAGTCTCAATGAACTCATTTATATTACAGAAACACATGGTTTAGTAGAATAGACTGCATAATGAATCTACTTATTTTTAAAAACAGCTATACAGTATTATATGAATGTAACAACATTCCTGTGTGAATAACTATATTTAAAATTTTTTATTTTAAAAATATTGTAACAAGCAACTTATTTATATCTGTAATGCCTTCTAGGAGTGTTGTTCTAGTGGTGATTCTTAGGTTCAACTAACCAATCAAACTGACAAGATCTAAACAGGCCACATTGAAAAAACATTCACTTAGATGGATAAGAGGAAGAAAGCACAGCATGCCAGCATGGCCATCAGGCATTTTTCCTGTTTTCCACACAGCAGTCCAGAAGCTATATATGGATATAACTTCCAGCACCCTTAAGGGACATGCCTGTAAGAGTCCACTGCACACAGGGAAGTCCCAAACTGTGGTTTCCCAATAGTTACTTGTGTTTATTTACAGTAATTCCAAGTCCAGAGGCATATCAGGTGGTCTTTTTCACTATGTACTGTTGCCTGGTAACACAGTTGACATTCCACCTTTATTAGGTTTCCAGAGGACCAGACTTGGCAAGTTAACTCAAGGTCAGATTAGTTTATATAGAAAGAGAAAAGATAAATCCCTGCAAGTGGAATTTCTCAAAGGGTACATATATATCTAAGATCTAACACCAAAAGCATAAGCAACAAAGGAAAATAGATAACATGAACTTTATGAAAATTAAAAACTTCTGTGCTTCACAAGACACTATCAAGAAAAAGACAATTCACAGAATGGGAGAAAATATTTGCAAATCACCTCTCTGATAGGGTCTAGTGTCCAGAATATATAAAGAACTCTTATAACTCAACAATAAAAAGACAACCTGATTTAAAGATGGTGAAGGATTTGAATTCGAATGTGTATTTTAGAGGTGTTTGGCTCCTTAGATAGTTGCAGCTTACATATATCATGACCTGAGCTATCAGAGGTATGAAAAGAGTGAAATTAATGTTTGTGCTGACCGTCCTCCTCTAGGTGACACAAAGTAATACTGATGGAATCTTACAGAAGACACATTTACTTCTCCCATGGGAATGTCAGTTCACTTTCTTTAAGCAATTTTATGAAGTGATTCCCTTTAGAAGGCTGTAGATTGACCAGAAATTAAAATTTATTTTTTCAGTAGAAAACTTGAGAGTGATAATTTTATTAATTTTATTAACTTATGCCTTTCTCTGAAATCAACTTTGTGTTCTTGAATGATATTTTTAAAAGATGGCATTCAAGTACTTGAGAAGATCATCTAGTGTTCAACCTAAAGATCTGGAGAATAATCAGAGCTGCCCAAAGATGGAATACACTTTCTTAAGAGGCAGTGAAGTCCCTACTGTTAGGTGCCCTACTGGTAGGAGTTCTATGATATGAATTAATGCATTGTGTAGATAGTGGACTTTGCTGATATTTTAGGTCCCTAAAGACAAATCCTTTGATCCTGTGATTCTGTAATATTTGTTTTGCACATGATGTGTATTTCTGTGATCACAAAGTTGAGGGTTATGAAAGCATTTCTGTGTAATTGTTACCTTGGCATCTCTCTCAACCACCCACTTTATTTTGCCTGAGTAGTGTAACATTTTACAGTATTTCTGTTTCCATGTATTTATCTTCATTTTCCTCACAGAGTTCTAAATGCTGGTTGTCTGCCATTCAAGGAAAATTGTACACAGTATAGACATTTGAGGCATAAAGTATATTTGGCTTTAAGCTTCACTCTTGTCATTTTAAAGAAGGCTTATGTATTTCACTATTTTAAGTGCATATTTCATCAGCCTCTTACACTTGAAACATTTTAAATATACCTCAAAGTAATCATGAAAATTATTGAGAGTTGCAGGGAGTCCAGTATTGTAATTAAAATCTTTTGGTGATTTTCAGAATGAAGCAATGACTGGTTCTCACACCCAGAACCGAGTCCTCTCTCGAATCACTCTGGCATTAATGGAGGATACTGGGTAAGACAGCTTTGAGAGTATTATGTGATTTGTATATTAAAATGAAATGAATGTTAAGGTTAACATTATGATTAAGATGAAAGGAATATTAGCTTAAAAAAATTGCTGATTGCCCTAATTGAGTGGCTCAGTATTGTCCCATACACCAAAAGGTTGTAGGTTCAATCCCTGGTCAGGGCATATACCTTGGTTATGGGTTCCGATCCCCAATCAGGGCGTGTACAGTAGGCAACCATTTGATGTTTCTCTCTCACATTAATGTCTCTCTCTCTCTCTCTCTCTCTTTATTTACCCTGCTTCTCTTCCTCTCTCTAAAATCAATAAAAAAAATATTCTCAGGTGAGGATAAAAAAAATACTGGTGTTTTATCCTGAAGTAAAATTTTCTTTGAATTTTTTGCAGTTAGCTATTCATTACCTATAACAACTACATTCATTCATTCAATAAATATTTGAAGCCCTGAAGTGTAGTAATGAATGGAACAAAATTCCTGGTATTATGAGATCTATTTCCCAATAAGTAGAACCAGGCTAATATGAAGGAAAAATTAATGTAAACAGTTTTTTAAATTATAAATGAAATAGGTGATGTATAGATTCCTGATTTTTAAAGCAGTAGAACTTTTGGTAAAGCAGTAAAATACTGTTTTTTAATGACTCCAAGGGAGTCTTTTCCTTTGTTGGTTCCAGGGTCCTTTTGACAAGATTTGCTTTTTGATAGCTTCCTTGCTTTCTGGTGTGGTAGGATATACCAGGCTGATCAGCACATACACCCTGGGCATCAGCCAGTTTTCCAAGGACCACTAGTTCCTTTTAATAGAGAGTAATTTTTAGAAACCACAGCCTAGGCACTGTGTTCATTGCTACTAGGTTATCATACTTTACAGTAGGCCAAGTTAGAAATTCATATACTTGAAAAGGAAAAAACTAATGCTGGATTTTTTTATTGCCATTATAACATTTTCTCATTTTCCCTGAATAAGCAGTGGCCAGCAGAAGTGATCTTGCTGCTCTGCTTAACAACCTATTTATAGCCCTTTTATAAACAATGCTAGGTTCTTTAACATGCCATTTGGGTATAGAAGCACTGTGGAGTGTGTAAATCAGTAATAAAAAATCATGGCACTGGTGAATTTTAAAGCATTTTTTTCTTTTGTATGAGGTAACACAACAACATAGGCCATATGTTTCTAAATTTCTGAGGATATTTTAAAATTATAGACAATTAAAATTATAGAAAATTATGGAAATTAATTTTCATAAATCCATGTGACTTCAGTGTAACTTAACTGAGTTGCTTCTCCCAGTAAAAGACATTATCATTTCTCCATCCAGAAACCTGGGAATCATCTTTGACAACTTCCTCCCCACTTCTCACATGTAATCAATCATAAATATTTCTTGATTTTTAACACTTGTGTATCCTTGGAGTCTGTCTACTTTTCTGGTCACCACTGCTTTTATCAAGGCCTCCACTATATTTTACCTGGATTACTATAGTAGACTTTTTAAAAACTGTCTCCCTTCATCTTAAATGGTTCTTTCTACTCCCCACAAGCTTTCACACACTTTGCACAAAGTGTCCTTTAGAAGTATATTAGGCACAGTAACTTAAACAGTAAGAAATACATCATGACCAAAATACACCTATGCATAGTATTAAGAGCAAATAAATTGACATGGGTGTTATGGAGAAAGAGTAGTTTTTTCAACAAATTGTGCTGGGACAACTGGATACCCACATGCAAAAGAATGAATCCTTACCACACATGTCTTATAAAAATTAACTCAAAATTGGTCGAAGACCAAGCTACAAGACCTAAAACTATAAAAGTCTTAGAAGGAAACATAGGTGTCAGCCTTAATATTGGATGAAGCAGTGAGTTCTTAGATCTGACACCAAAAGCATAAGCAACCAAGGAAAATAGATAACATGAACTTAATCAAAATTAAAAGCTTTTGTGCTTCAAAAGACATTATCAAGAAAGTGAAGATCAAATGAGGATGATCCAAGATGTTGGAGGAATAAGTGGAAGCTATGCTTACCTCCTCCCAGGACCAATCTGGAATTACAACTAAGTTGTAGAGAAAACATCCTGAAAAACCAACTGAATACTACTTGGAGAGAAGCTTTATAACCAAGGAGAGAGAGTGGCAATCACTTCACCACAAGACTGGTAGGGAGTGAGGAGGAGGCACAAGAGGGCTGGCTGGGCTCCCACAGGCAGCAACTGAAGTTCTGGAGGGATATTCCAGAAGCCGGGGTGAGGGGTTTCCCCATGAGAAGTGTGGGGACTAAACCCCAAGCTGGGCTCCCTAGCCTACAGCACCAGAGCTGGAAAGGAACCCAGGTAACATCCAGCTGTGAAAAGCAGCAGAGTTTCTGTCCGCAAGTGAGAGACAGCTGGGGATGCAGACAGTCTTTTAAGGGGCTAACACACAAAATTTCATTTGTAACCACTTACCCTGGGCTCTGGCAGAGGAAGGGAAGAGTGGACAAGAGACATGTGAGGAGGGTCTGGGTTTAGTGGCTTTGGGGAGAGAACTGAAGGAAAAGCTGCCAGGATCCCTGTGTTGAGTCATTCCCCATACTGCAGAGGTCACCTTTATAGGCAGAACACTCCTCTCCAGGTGGCATCAGCCTGAGGGAAAGCAACAGCCTGACCCACAGAAGTTAATCTGCTCCACCCTGTGGAGCTTAAGCTGGCTACTGATGACAGCTTGATTAGCTTAACAACCAATCAGCTTAACATTTGATTAGTGTAACAAACTAAGGTGGAAATTACAATGAAGCAGCCAAAATGGGAAGACAAAGAAAATGACTCCTAATGAAAGAACAAGAGAAATCTCCAGAAAAAGAACTAGATGAATTGGAGGCAAGAAGTTTATTGGATAGTTTAAGAGTGATGATTATAAAAATATGCAACGGCATGAAAAAAGACATACAAACCATAAAAAAGGACCAGTCAGAAATAATGCAGTATCTGAAATAAATAATACACTGGAAGAAAAACATAGTAGGTTAGAAGAAGCAGAGGATTAAATCAGTGATTTGGAAGGCAAGGTAGAAAAAAATACATCCAGCCAGAGCAGCAAAAAGGAAAATGAACTTAACAAAATGAGGAGAGCTTAAGGAAAATCTTGGACAACATAGATAGCATAACAACATCCACATCATGGGAATACCAGAAGGAAGAGAGCAAGCAAGGGATCAGGAACCTATTTGAAGAAATAATGACCAAAATTGCCCTAATCTGGTGAAGGAAAGAGACATACAAGTCCAGGAAGCTCAGAGAGTCGCAAACAAGAAGCACTTAAAGAGGCCTACACCCGAGACCCGTCATAATTATAATGACAAGTCTTAGGACAGGAAGAGAATGCTAAAAGCCATAAGAGAAAAGCAGGTAGTTACCTACAAGGGAGCACCAATTACAGTGTCATCTGATTACTCAACAGAAATATTTCAGGCCAGAAAGGAATGGCATGAAATATTCAAGGTGATGAAAAGCAAGGACCTATAACCAAGTCTGCTTTACCCAGCAAGGCTATCATTTAAAATAAAAAAAAGACCTCTTTTTACCAGGTCCTAACAGTGTAGGGACGGCGGTGGCGGCGATGAGGCAGAAGCACTACCTCGAGGCCGCAGCACGGAATCTGCAAGACAGCTGCCTGGGCCAGGCCTGCTACCTCCTCTGGGCCTACAGTTCATCAAATGATGCTAACAGCACTTTTGAAGGAACATGTCTATACTGCTTCCAGCTGCTGGTTCTGGATAATTCTCTAGTGTGCCTCAAGCCCAAGGCCAAATTGACACCCAGGATATAGAAATATCTTAATCGAGAAGTGAGAAATTACACACTCAGTTTTAAAGAAGCCAAAATTTTGGAAAAGTACAAAAACTCCAAAAGTATATTGTTGATTAGTTGTAAAACATGCAAGAAAACAGTTAAACATCATGGTAAAAGTAGAAGCTTTCTGTCAGCGTTGAAGAGCAATTCTACCACTCCTACGAGTAAACTCAGCCTGAAGACAGCAGAAAGGAACACTCTCAGTTCTGCAAACTTAAATCATAGCATGTCGGGTTCCAAAGACAAGAGCCCAGCATTGATTTTTAGAACACCTACATCTGGACAGTCAACATGCACTTGCTCCTCAAAAAATGTGAACAAAAGAAACACTTCTCTCAACTAAAAATGTTGCTTAGAGTGAATGCCAAAAGAATTCAGTAGTGGACTTCAGAAATTTCTTATCTTCTTTGTAAAGGATGGAGTAAGATGTGTTTAATGTAATTTTTGAAACTAAAGTTAGTCAGAAAATCAGTTTTTAAAAACTTTTTTCTTTAAATACATGAAAACTTGGGTCCAAAAGCAAACTCTTTTTGGCATTCTTCAATGTTTATGGAGAAAATACCTCATTAGATATAATAAAACCTGTCTACCTCACAGGGCAGTTCTGAGAATCAAAAGTAGATGAATGGTCCTTGTAAGTAGTAAAGATATATATGGACATTGAGTGGTTATACTCTTTGCTCCTCCCTTAATTAAGCTTTCATTATTTGTCATTTTCTTTCATAAGGGACTTCTGACCTGTATGAGAGGGTCTGTTCCTTTCTAGGTGTCTATAATGCTAATTTGGAAAAATGATCAAGTATGTGTGTTCTTGTTTTCCCACAATCATTTGCATAATTGTATATTAGTAAAATTTGAACATTATTCCTATTTTGCATATAAAAGTAAATATTCTTGATTGTAGACAATTCAGTTGAATAGCAAATTTTTCATTTTTACAGCTTTCTGTTGTTCCTTTGATAATAATTCACCATAAGTGGCCTTTCATTTGCTCTGGTGAAGTCTAAAATGTATTATTTCTAGGTCTAAAATTTACACTAGAATAAAACATAGCACAATGGCTGTCTTAAATATTCTCTGGAACACAAATATACTTTTTTCAAATGATGGGCAAGAATTGTATTCAACTTTTTTTTAAAAAAAAACTTTAAAT